CGGGGCAGATCTTAAGTACTCAAAATCGATTGACGATATACACTGGTCAGTGGTACAAAGAGTTAAAACAGAGCTGCAAGAGTTGATTCTCAACATGGAAAGACAGCCACCTCTCTTTTCACATCTTTATTTTAAAAGTGAAAAAAAAAAAAAAGATCTCCAATTCTCTCCAACTACTGCTCACCGTAGACCAAACATGGTATTGTCAGCAGCACGGCACAGATGCTTTTACTTTAACCAAACACTGCAATACTATCCTTTCTCTTCTGATTTGCATCGCGATGGAATTCTTTGCTGCAGGCAAAAGATGAAAACCAGCTTCTATCTCAGAGTTACAGTGACATTTAGAGTGTGTCCAAGCCAACATTTACCATTCCGATACACAAGCAAAGAAATATAAGATAGAACGTTTAAGGAACTCACAAGTAGGTAAAACCTATTAAGCAGAGAATCTAGGCAAATTCTGTATCCGGTAGTCTATCTGAAGCATCTGCTAGAGAAGACTGTCAATGTTGCACTCTCAGCAGACTAAAAGACTCTGATACCATAGACTCCCCCGCAAAATACACATGTTGAAATTTAATTACAATATGTTAGTAATAGGAAATGAAGCCAATGTGTATATGTGTAGGTAAAACCCTCGTAGATTTGTGTGCTTTTAAGAGAATAGCTAGCTAGCTAGACCTGTTTCCTCAACAGTCTTGCTAGGGTCCAAGTAGAAGCTAGGATGTGTAGCCTGGACAAGGGGGTTCTCAACAGAACATGAGTGTGCAGAATACTGGCTGCTGTCTGGCTTTTAGAATCTAAAACTCAGAGAAATAACTTTCTACAGTTTATAGCCCAAACATACACGACACTTAGTGCTTGAGATGCTGGAGACAGGGCAGCAATTTTAAAGAGCAATAGTCTATATGGATCAAAGCCCTGGGCCCAACTTCCTGTAAGTCTTGGTGTACAGTCCAACTTTTCAATGATGTCACATGACAGTACACTAAAACTATACCTTATCTTAGTCTGCCAAATTTCTCATGCATAGACTTTAGCCCCATAGAACATAGCACATGGTTTCTCTACTACCTGCCCCTTTTTGCATCCTTTTTGCATACTTACAAAGTCATAAGAGTTCCTAGCACATGGCAACAAGGAAAATGTCAATACATATTAGCTGACAAAAATCAATGACTGTGGGATTGGCCAGTATTAATGTAAGATAGATATTATCTTTCTTGGGCCTGATTTTGTTTGCTGGTAAAGTGAGGCACATGGGTGAACCTTCCCCTCAGGATTATCTCATGAATAAAGTGAGACAACACATGCCAAGGGCTTAAAATCATGAGCAGATACAACAGACTTTTGGTAAGTGTTAATTGCCTTTATTGTTATTTCAAGATTCGTTTCCCAGTTGGTGATGGATTTGTGAAAATTTACACCCTCAAGCAACTAGCTCTCCTCATCTGATGGCACAATTCAGAGATGGTGAAAAGGCCTCATTAGAACTGAAAGCTACAAGGGGGTCAATCCCCATGGCTGTGGCCTCCCTAACTCCAATTCAACAAGACCTAGGGTTTTGCAAAGGAGCTGTTAATAGCATGAGTGCTACTGCCTCTGACCTGTACAAGTAGAATAAACATAACATTGAAACCTTAAAAGGCAGAGAAAGCAGCTCCCCCTCTTCCTACTTGAACTGAGATTTGTTTCTTTGGCTTAACTGAAGTCAAAGCTAATAGTTCTAATGTCTTTGAATCCCCCAACTCATTCTTCATATTTCTCCACACATGCTGTAACTTATATTTTCTGAAACCAGATAAAGAGGAAAAAAAAGTGGTCTCTCACGAAAGAATTTACCAGAACATACTAATCATTTAGACATTGGCTTATGTTTCTAGAAAGCTAAAGATTAAGAATGGAAGTTTTTTCCACCCCCTTGGAGCAAAATCCAAGGCAGAGTATTAATCTAAATATTCACTAAGAACTTAGGGAAACAAAACACTTTAAAATCACTCATTATGGATTCACAGATATCTTTGATCTCAAAAAGAAGCAAAGATTTAGGGACTAGAATTAGCAGGACAAATGGGAATGACAGTGAACAAGATAGAGGAAGGGGGTATTTATTGGTGTCTTAGCAGTTAAGACTTCACTTGCCTATTAATTATAACAAGGCTCCACGAGGGTAATCTTCTCTAAGTGGTCCATGAAAAGACATCAAGAAAGCAAAATGAGATGAATGGCTACACAGCTAGGGAAGAGATAATGACAAATTCTGTTAGTGGGAATGTTTCTCTTCACTTTGGAAAAGAACACACCCCCCCCCAGGAGGTGAAGTTTGCATTAAGTAGGAAATTCCCAAGTGAATGCTCCATTTTGTCACATGAACATCTACAGATTGTGATGCACGCAATGTATGGTGAGTGTGAAGTCCCAGAAGGAATTTAAAACCCCAATTCTGACAGTCTTGCAGACAATGTTAACCCTGCCCTGCATTCCTGGATCACAGAAAGGTGTAAGGTATTGTCCCACTGCACCTGGAGAGGTCGTCTTACAATGACATTTTAAAGATGCATATAGTATTTCCCAGGAGAAAGTAAGATCATGCACAAAACACTGAAAGTTAAACTTCCCAATAATCCAACAATATTAGCAATACACAAAGCTTGTTCATATGCTGTCAACTGCCAGGAATAATAGAACTATATACTTGTAATTTTGAAGTATACACAAACACCACTGATATATAATTGAACACATTCAACACAGTCTACAAAAAAAAAAAAACCCACACACTATAAGGCCCCCTTTATGTTTGAAATATACTATACCTAAACTTCACTGAATCTAGAAAACTATCTTGATTCTCAGTCTCCTTTGATAATAGATAAAATTGGTAAGGATGGCTTTCACTTTCTTTTGAATTTGATACTTTGGATAAGAAAGATGGCACATCGCATTCTAACAGGCACCTCTGTGTAGATTTTTATCATGCCATAAAATAGCTTTATTTACTATACCCAGTTACATATAAAAGCCTATTTAAAGGGACCACAGTACAGCAGAGAGGAAGGAAGAGGAGAAGGGAAGCCTGAGATCACGCTACTTGGGTTTCTCTATTTTCTTTCTTGTCTATCACTGAGGAATCTTGACTCATCTGAAAGGACTTGATGAAAACTAAACACATTGTGGCTCTCCAGCCAAAACTCACAAACATTCCCATTGGCCTCCTCCGATCAGCTGAGCACAAGGGTTTTTTTTTCCTTTCTCCCCCTACCCCCCCATAAAAAAAAAGTCCACAGTGTATCTAAATCTGATCCCAGTAAAATTCGACTTGAGCAGAAGTGAAAATGCAGAGGTAGCATTTATGGGTAACAGCTGGAGAGCATTAGTTCTCTGTCTATCCCTTTCTCTCCCAAGGGTCAAAAATTCTGCTGTTCAGACAGGAAGTCGTCATATACCACACACCGTATGATAGGATATGCTGTGGTGTAAGAGCACATTACAGAGGACCGGGAGATCCCTGAAATGCTTTGGTTGTCGAGCCACAGTGACCATCTCATACTTCTCAGACCATCCTCCCTCCTCCAGCATCAAACGAGGGACTGACAGGTACACTGAAAGTCATCGAATGACTCCAAGTTAGAAGGTTCCACTGTTTGTCTCTCCACACATTTTAGAAACATTAACTTCAAAACCTTCAGAAAGTAAGTGACCAAGATTCTCCAATAATCTTTTTTGGCCCACCCTCACACTTGCTTTCTAAAAAAGATTAACATTTCTTTCCAATATTTCTCTCATGTATTTGCCCAGGACAAAAGTTTTATATATGCATATGTATGCCTGTATATGTAGAAAAACATATATAGACGGACTGCAAAACATGTTGGTGTGGAAATGATGTTTTTTAATTGAGTGGATTTCTCTAGGGTTGGCTTTTAGTATAAGTTTTACAAAGTAGCTCAGAAGTAAACACAAATACAAACAGGGAGAGACCCTCTTCATTCTGTAACCATGGCTCCAAGTTTTGGACAGGCTGATAAGCGGTTCCTTAACCCCAGATGCTGAATAGCTAGCTATTCTGCATTCCTACCAGTCTGAAAGGGCTCTTCCCTCCTTTGTAACCGCGGGTGCTCTGGAGGGGGCAGGCTGGAAAGCTAACCCAGTCTCCTCACTCCTTTCAACCAGGTTCACTAGATACAGCCCTTAACTCTTGAACTTGAGAAAATGCCTTAGCTTTGTGCGTATCAGAGACGTGCTGTTAATCACAGGGGTTAAAACACTACTGGTATTATGCAAAGCGGGGGAGGCGGGACTGAGGAGGGGACCCACACATCCATCATCCCTTTAGGAGTAGGCGGAGTTTGAAGTTTCCCCAACTTCCAAGTTCTCACTTGACAGGCAATATTTCTGTGCAATTTCCAGCCCCGAGTAACAGATGGTGCTCTGCCTGTCTTGAGCCTCGAGAGAGCCCAGACAAAGCTCCCAGCCACTCCATGCCTCGCGGGACCCATAGGTGGTTAGTTTCACGAAGCTGTCAGAACAGGGCAGTTAGCAAAGAATGGAAGCTTAACTTCTTCCAGAAGTTTTGTGGGTTTTTGTTTTGGTTTTTGGTTTTTTGGTTTGTTTGTTTTTTTTTTTTTTTCCTGATACGATGAAGTCCGGAGGACTGAAGCACAAAAAGGCCTGGGAAAGTTTTGATTGCTTCAGTTCTCTGCCAAACCGTCACCTAGTCCAAGGTGCACAGAGAAGGAAAACTGAGGCACACGTGTCCAGAAACACAGCAGAAACGCAACTTGAGCAGTCCTAAAGACAACCTGGAAAATTGCTTAAGAGACCCCAGTGGTGGAAAGATACCCTCCAGGTACCAGAGATTGGATCACGCAGAGCCCAAAGGGAAGACTGCAAACCCAAGAGCACCAAAGTAGGGTGCGCCTGAGCTGTGTGCGAGAGGAAAGGGAGGGGGCGCGATCCTGGAGTCGGGGGAAGGGGGGTACGTTCGGCCCACTCACCCTCACTGCCGTACTGTTTGCCATTGTTCGCGCCCATCCTGTCGCCGTCATGCCCGCCTCCTCCCTGGACACTGCATAGCTGGGGCGCACCTCCCAGGCGGCGGGGCAGAGGAAAGCGGGCAGGACCGGACCGTTAGCTGCACATGCCCCTACCGAGGGCCGATCTGGGTTTGGGGGCTCGGCACTGCTGTGCGGCCGGAGGGGTGGTGCTAGGTCCGCTCCTGGCACCCCCGAGGGTGGCGGGCCGGCTCCAGGACAACCACCGGGGCTCTCAGATTCCGCGCTCCGGGCGAGTGGGAGCAGCGCAACGCACAGCCCGCGCCCGGGTGCCGCCCCTAGGCTCGCCGCTCCTCCGCCGCGGGGTCCCCATGCGCCTCCGCGGTCCCCAAGCCGTGCGAGCCGAGCCGCGCCTGCCCCCGGCTGTCCGGCTCCTCCGTCTCCGCCCTGCGCCCCCGTGCGTCCGCGGCTTCCCCGGGGAGGGCGCGGCGGCCACTTGTTGCTGTGCCCCGAGTGAGCAGAGACTTGTGGCCCGACGCTGCTCGCCCGCGGGCCGGACTTTTGTTAGCGCCAGGCGCCTCCTCTCGCCGCCCAGCGTCAATCACAGCTGGAGCCCCCGGGAGGAAGGCCGGCCCGGAGATGCGCGGCCTTTTAAAGGGGCAGCACGCCTTTTCCGGGCTCCCGCTCCGGGTCCGCGCCAGGGCTCCGGCTCTCCGTGTCACTCGCGAACCCTTTGGCGCAAAGGACCGTGCAGCGCGCTGCGTTTTACTATTGTTCTTCTGTAGACTGTGGGCTTCAAGTCCTCCTTCGAGTTCCCGTGGAATTGTCCACAAATACCGCCCGTTTGGGCTGTGAGTGACGTTTACAAGAAACACGCAGTCAGTGTCCGGTTCTGTCACATTTCTGGTACCTGCGCTGGTAATCTCCAGTGACTCCCTGGATTTGGGGGCTAAAGCAGGGAATGGAGGAGGGGTAGGGAAAACTTGAGAGGAACTTAGCGGGGAGTGGTCTCTGGAGAGCAAAGACATTCCCCGCCCAGCGAAGGAGGTTTTTCCTGGCTCTGAAGTTTTAAAAGCTTCTGAGACACAATTTTTTTCCTCCTCACTTTTATTTATTTATTTATTTATTTTTCTTCTCCTAGTTGATGCCATCTTTTATTTAGTACCTTACTACTTCGATTGGAGATTTACGTGGTGTTTTCAAAGCACTCTCTGCCCTTTAAGTCCTCCTTTGGTATTCTTTCCATTAAATAGGGGGGAAAAAAGGAAATTCTTAATGTTCTACTCCATTTCTATGTAAGTACCTAGAGAGTCCAACTGAAGAACAGAACGTTTTTCATGTAGCTTTTTTTTTTGTAGTGAAACACACTCAGCAGTTTTTCCTTACAGATGTTGTAAATTAAATTAAAGCTTAGTGATATGTTTATCTTTATATATACACAATTCTTGAATAGAAACTCAGGAGTTAGTAAACAAAGGCTTCTTATGAGATGATTTGACTTCTTGCAAATTCTTCTTGCATGAGTTTCATTAATACTCCCACAATGCTCTTCATTAAAGATAAAACATTATGTTTCAAAGTTTAAAATCTGTATTTAACCATGCAAATACCATATTCTGAAGTAAAATAATAAATGTGTAAATGTTCAAAGATAAGACAGAATAGTTATTGTGTTGAGAGACTTCCGTGAAAGGATATTTTAATGTCTTTTAAAATATCTAGTATATGAACAATAATGTGTAATTACCAAACAACGTTTTAATGAAATGAAATTTAAAAGCCTTTATGATGGGCTTCTTATAAGATTCTGCTGAAAAACACAAAACCAATCTAAAACTGAGTAGACATCAGGGTTATCTTCTTGCAGAAGATGGTTTCTGCCTGGTCCTTGAAGTGACCTTGAACATCTGACCAACCTGCCTCCACTCCCCCTTCCAAATTGCTAGGGTTGCAGGCATCTGTCTCCATACTTAGGTTTGTATGATGCCAAAGATCAAACTGAGGACTTCTATCATGATAGGCAAATGCTCTACCCACTGAGATAATCTCCAGCCCTTGGTCCAGGAGATTTCATGTCTCCATCTAAGAAACTGTCTGAACTTTAGCATTTTGACAGTTTAGCTGTAGACAGATAACACTAATTCAGGAAAGCAAGTGAGGTTCCTCTCTCGCTCAGTGTGACCTTTGCACTTTGTGATACCTATGCTGTCTGCCCCTCTTTGTGGTACACAAAGTATGGAAATGATGAGAAACAAAAGCAAGGCTCAAAAAGTTTAGCTCCCCGAGTCCACAATAAGAGAGCACCAGAATATTCAGGTTCCATCCTACCTGGGTCTCTTGACTTGGCCATTATTCAACTAGGAGCCAATGTCCTGGTCTTTTGATCTGGTCATCTACCAAGATCTTTACTCTTCAAGTAAAGCTGCCTGGGATAAGGATGTTGTACTAACAAATTAACCTAGCTGCTTCGAAATTAAAATCTGTGTTCCTAAGTTTCTGTTGTCTGCCATCACTGAGCACAGAGTTAACCTCATTTATGAAGCTGCGATTTAAAACAAAAATTGAAAAAAATCGTTTAACATCATTCAGAAAATAGAAGTTGCTATGAATGTTTTTTGCTCTACATGCTGTGAACATTTGAAAACAGTTAGCAGAAGAAAGAAAAATAGTATTCTTGTTAAACACCAAGGTGTGCGCACATTTGAATATGCACTACTCTTCAAAATTAAAATGCTGCATGAACGTTTTTTATGTGGCACGAAATTTTTTTTCCTTTGCATCCGTTCCAAGTCCCAAAGTGTCATCACCAATTCACAAGCCTTTCGAGACAAGCACAGTGTGTATTTCACCAGTGTACTTGACTTTCCAGCCTAGCTCCTAACACAAGCAATCACTCACCAGCAATCACTTGCAGAACAGATGAAAGCCGAGCAAAGAAATCACAGTGGCCTATATAGTATTCCATCCTCTCCGTCTGTGCCCCTTTAAAGGGACCAACTCACTGAAACATGAGTTTAAGAGGACATTCTACGTCCCCACAAAATGGAGTGAGAGAGCTCAGCTCATTCCACAGGATGGAATGAGTTTCTCCTGGTGCTAACTGAGCCAAAACCAGACTGGCTGGGTCATAGGTCATAGGCCCTAGAGGAGACCGAATGCTATTACTCTGGCAAATAGACATAGTATTAAATCGCCCCCAAGTTCTTAGCACTTACACCCATAGAATAGTGCATTTCTCAACACTCGTCGGAGAGCTTCTTTGTATACGAGACAGCAACTAGTACAGAGACCCACAAGTTGGTCAGTGTGCAGAGAGTAGAACATGGAGGAGTGTTCAGCTCTGAATGGGGCATCTAAATCAAACCTCCTTCCCACAGGGCTCAGAGATAACCACAAAACAGACAGAAAGACGAAAAGAGCTGATGGTGGCAAATCTAAACATCTTCAGTAAAAACACTATTTGATAGGGCCACTGCACACATGACCCTAGCAACTGTGGTGCATTTGTAAGACCTGCACAAGATCAAGCCAGCAGAATTCTCAGCATCAACAGAAGAAGAGGCTCATGAAGTCCCACCTCTACCTGGGCACCCTTTAACAACTGTTGCTGAGAGATGAAGAGACAGTTTTCTCTTGGGATGTGACCCCTGAAAGACTACCCATGCTCTTATGGGTGGTCCTATATCATACACTTATAGGCAGCATTAGCTAGCACCTATTTACTTTGTCTTGAGTGAATCTGACCAAAAAAAATAAAATAAAATAAACATTCAGGCAGGAAATATCTTTTGGTACATTTATTTTCATTTCTGGGTTTTTTATTGTTTTCAGCATTTATTTTTGGAGACTTGGTGTTTGTTGGGCTACTTTGATAAACATATTAAATCTCTTATTAATAGAAATGTCCTCTTATCTAGGAGTGTGTGTTGTTTGTCTTATTGAAGTTAGATGCCAACTTGCTATTTAACGTATTTGGTCCTTGTGTTCCCTGAGCCATAGAGCTTTAGGACAATATGAACTTGACACTGGTGATGGGCTGTCAGAGCCATGTTAAGACAGCTATCCTGGGTTCTCAACGGTTTGCCTCCTCTCTTCTTCTGGTCTTTAGCTTCCAGGCCTTCAAAGGACAAGGTTCTTCTGAGGACAGTGTAAATAAGAGATGCTGATGCCCTTTGGAAATCCACTTTTGGAATCACTCAAAGGTAGAACCTCTGTTTAAAATAAATAATCAATACTGGAAGTCATCACAGAACATATTTCCCAGTCTTTGAGGCTGGGAAGATGGCTTAGTTGTTAGAGTGTATGAGGCACAAGCATGATTTAGTTCTAGTACGGACTCACGAGCTAGCCCAGCAGTGCCTCTGAAATCCAATGCTAGAGTCAGAGGGTTGAGACAGGTTGCCAAACCATGTAGATTGTGGAACTCCAGGCTCAGTAAGAGACTCTGTCTCAAAGCATAATATGGAGGGGATAGGGAGGTAGCTCAGTTGTTATTAACATTTGTTGCTCTTGCAGAAGACCCAGATAAAGCTCTGAGCACCCACATGGCAGCTTACAACCATCTATAATTCTAGTTCCAGGGATCCAATACCTTCTTCTGACCTCTGCAGGCACCAAGCATGCACTTGATACATATGCACACAGGCAGGCAAAACACTCATAAAATGAAATAATGAATAAACTGGAGGGCTATGGGAAAAAACGCCCAGTATAGACCTCTAACCTACACACGTGTTTATATCCTATATAGAAAGAAACATGTGCACTCAAATAAGATAAAATAAGGTATAATGAAATAAATTCTAAAAATAATAATTTGTAAAAATGGAAGAAATGAATCCAGCAGTTGAATGATATGTGCTCCTGTTCATTTATATTTTCCACTTTAACTCACATATTTACTTTCATAGGTCTGAGTCATCTGCTTAAATTAAAAACAGAATATTACATACCCTGTTACTAGGACTGTGGTGGAAAACAGTAAACTCAATAGGCTTGGGTTTAAATGTACATATTACCTAAAAGAGGAAACAGTGTCTTTAACCAGTATTGATCTATTATCAAAGCTGGACCTTTACTAAATTAATATTTATGTAAGATAGAAAACAAGACTATGAATGATTGTTATTTCTGCTATTATCATATTCTGACTGTTAATACATATAACTACTCCATGGCGTTCAGTTTTGGCTGACTCACTCAGTGACATGGTCTCCATAGCCTAATGAATTTTATTAGTGTACATGGAAAATGTTTTACTACTAAATGAAGTTCAGAGGAAGCTCGGCCGGTTCCTCCCCTTTTTCTAACCTTTACCTCTGATGCTGCTTAAAAGAATGTGAGCATCTTTTGACCTGAAGAGAAAGGACAGAAGGATTGAATAAATCACAATCTAGACTCCTAAGACACAGCCCACTCAAGCCACTGACAGCCTCTCCTCTACAAGCTTCGTAAAACAGAATCATGAAAATGATATATAGCCTAGACACTTAGCTTTTTCATT